TAGCAGTGACACTGTTAAGGATCTTCTGATTTTTCCCTTATTTGGGCCCTTAGCATCACTGACTGATCCTCCTTTCCCAATCAATAAAGCAAAATTTCAGTCATGACCCAGTACATTAATTTGACAATTCAGAGTTTAAAAACTGTTGAGTTAGCCCCTCAAATTTTCAGGCTTCTCCAGGAAATTCCTTGCTCCTTTTAGCACATTAGTATTATTGGCCACACTATATCTTAGGTCACATTGGCTTTACACTGAAGTTCCTCATATAAATTGCACACTAACCCTGGGATGTTTCAGCAGTGTTCTTTCCCTTACAATTTTTGCAGAGAATAATACCTGCAACTCAATTTCACTCCATTTTCTCTCTCTCCAGCCAGCCTGGACATGTTAGAAACTCATAGTGATTTTTGGATGAAGAGTATTCCTAATAGAATGGGTTTGTAATGTTTAATTCAATAAACATTTATTGAATGTTTCCATCATGTTTACCCTAAATATATGCAGTGGGCACATCACTGTGCATATGGCCACTTTTCTACCATTAGCTAGAAATTACTTGGCAGGCAACACATTAAACAACAAGATTCTTCTTTCTGCCACTTCACTACTCAGGCTTACTTGACTAGAATTCTATAATTCTAGATATCTTTAATCTGGGGTTGCAAAGCCCCATCATTCAATAATACACATATAGGCAAAAGACTCTAGTAGAATGTCCTGCACAGAGTAGCAGGAACATATTCCTTGAGTTACATAGGGGGCTCAGACTCCTATGCAACAAAGTAAGCCTTCAAAAAATATTTCCTTAAAAAATACTTTTGCATAGGACTGGCTTAAGTGGAACCTAAATATTCAGGTTCATCAGAAGTGGTACAACAGCAATGCTGGGAAAGCTATTAATGCCATTTATGTACTGAGGCACTCCTACTGGCTTTGTCAGGGTTTAGTGCACAGTTATGAATAACAGACTGTTTCCTTATCAAGGGAGGATTTACAGCTTATAGCTTCTCTCCTATAGAGAAAATTAGTAGAGTTTCTTTCTCTCAAGACTTTGAAGAAGAGGGTTTCCCCATGCCAAACCCTGAATGAGAAATAAGAAGAGGGGCATATTGGTCTTGTGTCCTTAATCTTGCCCAAAAGCAAGAACTTGGATGAAGCCATAGAAGACTGTGTTTATTCAATAATGCTGGAAGATGTAGTTAACATGTTGGACAGATTGTATTTAAAATGCTGTAATACTGGAATGGGGTTTGACAAGAGAAAATCTAAGGGACACAAAAGTCCTATACTCTTGTTACTAAGTCATCTGCCTAAACTAAGGGCAGTCTATGCAGAAGGCACTGAGGTTTTTCATGAGCCAACATTAGACACACCTACTAAACATGATGCACCACATTAGGGAGAACTTTGAAAATAGCAGCCCTCAATCAAGGAGCTACATTCACATCATCAGAACACTTACGAGTTACATATCCTTCTAGATACCCCATTGTATACAAAAATGCATTGGAGGAAATCCAGAGGAAGGCAACCATGAAATGGAAGGGTCTAAAAATATCTTAATACAAGGAACTTCTAGGAACATGTGAGGACTTTTAACCTACTGGAAAAAAAGGCACAAGTATCTCAAATATTTAGTCTTAGGGGCTGCCACTGGCCAAATGTGGTATACTTTCAGCATTAAATCAGTGTCTGATAGTAATAGATATTAAACCATTAAATTATGAAATGTAACCCATGAGCCAATGCTAACAACAAAAAGTCTACAAAAAAGATTCTAGAGGGTATAAATGGAAAGGGGAGAAAAGTTCTTTGATTTACAGACAGGTAAATTGAAGCCATATCACTTTAAGTCTAACAGAGAGAAGAAGCTTTTAACAAATGTTAATAATGATGAGCCAGAGATCAGAACTCTGCTCAAGAACTTGCAAAGATCCTCAGTCTGCTAAAAAATTGTGCCCTCTTAGAAGGGTAGAAAACAGCCTTTACTGAACATCTTACAATTACCAAGGGAATGTATTAGATTCCATCTTCCCAATGACTCAGAGAGATGGTATTATTGCCCATGTTTTACAGTAGGGAAACTAAGGCACTGTAACCTATGCAATGTTGCACAGAGAGTGTCAGAGTTGTGATTTGAATCCAGGTGTGTCCAAAACTCTTGCCCCACAGCACAGCATACAAAGTACATGAGAAGCAATTTCAGGGGTACCTTGTAGCCCTGCTGCTCCTCAGGTGGGTCCTTATTAGGTTGTTAATAGTTATAATCTCCTCATCTACCAGACCAACAGTGCCACATTGCTGTCATTTCTCTGCATCAAAAGAGAAAGACTGGGGCACATTTTTAGAAATCTGTTGTTAAAATGATTCTGATTTCTATGAGGTGTCTCTGTCCTCTCCCTTCCCCATGGTCACCCTGTTTCCCTTCTGTTGAATACAGGTCAGCTTACCCAAATCAGTCTACTTTGTTATCTTTTTTTTCTCCAGAGACCGTTCATCTGCCCACTTAGACACTGGGGTTTATGGCCTTCTAGTACAGATAGAGGGGAATTTGACCCTGATGATCTATGAATTCTATTAATTCAAGATGCCAACAAATGATTTTACTGATGACAGGAAGAACAGGTCACAAGGAGACACATGGCTGCCTAGTTATCACTGCTCTGGGTTAAAAGAGTGAGAACATTTTAAGTTATAGTGCTTGCTCACTAATAGACTCTTTATTTTATTTTGAAAGTGTGACTTCTATGTGATTCTTCAGGTTTTGTATATGGGACATAGGATTTCTCATCATCTCCCCACCTTCTGCTTATCTCTCCTAAGGTCAGAGAAGGTAGTTGAGGGTTAATGTCCCCAGTAGGTCAGGTTCTTCATCTTACTAAAACTTTCTTCTTGTAGCTAAGGAAACGTCTAAGTATATTTAAAAATAGAATGTCTATAAGTTTGGCTACAGCCAGGCCACTGGTTTTAGCTACCTTTCAACCCTGAGTTTCCATGAGACCAGGCACTGTGTGCCCTCTATTCATTCATTTTACAAATGTCTCCTGAGCCTCTAGGTACACTGTATGTCAGGATTATTGCAGTGAAACAGACAGACACAGCCCCTGCCCTCATCAGAGACCAATGTCCTGGGATAGACACAGACAGGAAACAAAAAATTGGACAAAAAGGGATTCACACTCAACAAACAGTCCATATCTTTCTGCAGTATCCAGCACAGAACTCCGCACATGTGAGGTGCTTTCACAAGTGGCTGAAATTTGTGAGGAATGTGCAGAGAGACTGACCAGCTAGAAGAACTTCAGCATTGAGAGATTAACACTTTAACTTCTAGAGTGAAAGGACAACATGACTGTCAATCAGGAGGCCTGGGTTCTAGTTCCTGCTTTTTCACTAACCATTAGAATTTTCTCAGATAAGCCACTTCATTTCTCTGAGCCTCAGTTTCCTTACTTATAAGAAAAGGGTAAGCACTAAGATCCCTCATTAATAACGAAATGCCTGCTGTTGGAGGTCTTTTAATCTAGCCTCACTTACCTGGCCAGAAGGAAAAAGATTAGCTGAGCAAGGTCTTCTTATGACAAAGGGCCCTAGAACAGGGGTCTGTGTCTACCTCAGGGCTTCTGGGAAGACGGATTAGCAGCTGGAAGGAATAAAGCCCCTGGACCAGGAAACCAATAGCCTATGTCTGAACATGGGCGATACTGCCCTTGACCTACCACCCATTAACTGTTTCAAAAGGAACACTTTTATTCATAAGGTATTCTAGAATACCTTTTACTCATAATGTATTCTAGTCATATTGCTAGACAATAAATTAGAGGAGACAGGAAAGTACAGAAATAGTTTTCTCTGCATGTTTTTACAAGTGTAAAAAACTTAATTTTCCATCCACTCTGATATTAAAAAATGGCTTAAAAACTTGAAGGCAGAGGTCAGAATCACCTTGAATGCCCTTGAACACTAGTCTAAGAAAGGATGGTTAGGGTAGTTGGGTGCCAAAATTGGGACACAATTCCCCTGTTAAAGTCTCAGTGGCTATTTTTTTTTTCCCAGAAAGAAAAAATTAGGAAAAATCCTAATGAACGCAGATCATCTTTTAAAAATACCCATAACTCAGGAAATTAAAATTAATCAAGGAAACAGCCTGCTGCCTGAGGTTGAAGAATCAGGTTGAAATACTAGGTCTGGATAAACTAGGGCCAAATATGATTTGAAGTCGTAAAATTTTATTAATAAAATTGAAATATGCAGCAAAAGGTTACCTCACATTCTTTGGATTCTGAGGTAAGCAAATGCAAGTAGGCTGGGACATGGACCCTTTTCTCCCTCTGCTGAAAATTTGTGCAGGCACCTGAGCAAATACATGGAGTCTTTCTAGTTTCTCTTCCTGTGCTCCCTCCCTCTCAGAGCTCCTAACTCTTGCTGGCTCCAAGGTGTGGGAGAGCAAGTGACCAGGCTTTCTTACAAGATAACTCCATCCTTCATACATCACTTCCTGATCCTCCTGTCCCTCAGGAACTGAGCCCCGGTAACCTGGTCACAGGAAAGCATCATTTATCCATAAGTCCTTTTGGATAAGAGGCCCCTATCAAGCAGCATCGATGAGGCCATTTTCCAAACCATTGGTTTTGATCTAATTTTGAGATAAGCCCCATTCAAATCATGATAAATATGAACCGATCACAGCCACTGGGGTCTCAGGAAACTATCCCAACCTCAGATCTTCTGAGGTTCACCCTCCCATAAGGCAAAGTAGCCCAAGCAGCCCAGGCAGGGCATCTCAGAGACAGCAGACCCCTCGACCTCACCTCTCCCACTGTTCACCCTTCCACTTCTGTATGACTCTCTCAGCTTAAGAGTCTGGTCCTGTTCTGTCCCCTTTGCTGATACAAAGAGACAACTGGCTCCTGAGTGGGAAGAATTCTGAGGGTAACTTTCCAGGGGTGCTTAAACCAACAAGAAGTCTCAGGGGACGGAAGACTGGGACTCTGTCCTACCTTGTCACTGTCCACTGTGTTCTGAGAGGTCCTAGAGGCAATGGAGATGGTGTCTGGTTGGCTGCTCCCATCCCCCTGGCTGTCAATATCCTCCACTCCATCCCTGCAGGAAGAAGAGAAAGAAAACAGGGGTGGGGGTGGAGGGAAACAACTGTGGGTTTAGAGCACACAAGGATTTCCAGCTAGGTGGCAGAGCAGTGCCTCAGCATTTCTAGCAGGGATTTGTCTACAATTATCCTGCTAAAGGGAGCAGCCCTATATGATTTTAACAACATCACTTCTAGCACTTAGTAAACATATCATCACTATGCTGATAACTGAATGCAAACTGATCTCTCCCCATAACTCCTCTGGCCCATACTGGACAGGGGCAAGTTGTGGTTTTTCTTTTTTAACTGGGTATGGATCTAAAGCAGAAAGTAGGAAGATGTGTATCCTAGGCTTCCATCCAGTGGACAGGGTCATTTTCAATAACTTCAGAGTACAGGACACTGAAAAAGTTTTTCTATGTGTTTTAATTTAGGTTGATGGCTGGCTTATTACTAGTTTATGAAATAAGCCTGGTGCAGTGCCACATGCCTATAATCCCAGCAACTCTGGAGGTTGACATAGGAGGAGGACAAGTTTGGGACTTGCCTGGGCAATTTAATGAGATCCTCTCTCAAAATAAAAAAGGGCTGGGGATATAGCTCAGTGGTAGGGCATTTGCCTAGCATAGGCGAGGCCCTGGGCTCACTCCCCAGTATTGAAGAAAAAAAAAAAAGGTAAGAAAAAAATGAATATTTTTCTTTTGTTGAGAGAGTCTTGCTCTGCTGCCCAGGTGGACTCGAATCTCTAGGCTCAAGCGATCCTTCCGCCAAATAGCTGTGGCACTACAGGTCTATCTGTGATAATCTTAAATCGACACAGAAGGCCAAAGCATTTTCTCAAAGATTGGATAAGAGTTACAGATTCTACAGCAGCTTTTGGGCCAGCTGTGCTTCTCAGTTTCTTTTGACTAGACTCCTGGTGTTTAGACGTGTTCATGCCCCATGTCCATGAAACTATGCAACTCTCTGCTTTAGAACTGTGCCTCCATTCTGCACTGAACCCCGAGCCGGGTACCAGAGGGACTGAATGCCTGGAAATGGCTGAATGGTCTGTGTCAGGAAAAACTTGGAAGATTTGGACTGGGGTTGCGGGAATTAGCAGAGAAAACCAGTTTTCCCATGGACACTTTTATGAAAGTCAGACCCCAATGCTGCTTATGGAAAAGTGAGAGTACTGGGAGATGAGAATTCCATGCCTGAGAATCTCAGCCTAGGTGCAAAATGCTACCGATTATGAATCCACCTTCCAGAGCCTAAACAATTATAACATGGTGTCTGAGTTTATGTGGATATGCGTGTGTATGCAGGTGTTCACCTGTGTGCATGTGTGCATGTGTGCACGTGTGCATGTGTGCACGCACAGTGTCCACTCATCAGAAAAAGCAGTTTCTCCCTGGCAGATCATTTCTAAGTTGACTGCTCTCTTGCCATCACTTGTGGGTTTGGGAAATGCCGACTTTTTTTAATAACATAAGCCATACATTCGTAGGAAGGAAAATCTGCTGTAAAAAGAAATTATGTGACGCATTTCAAAACCAAAAATAAAGGACTTTTAGATCATCTGTTGTTTTTGATTATATGGGCCACTGCCCCCACCTTTTTAGACTGTTGAGAGCTGGCTGTATTTTCTGCTTCCTGCTGTTCTGGCCCTTCTGGTCTAGTCCAGATGAAGCCAGTTCTGTAGGGTGTGGGGCCCAGCCAGTAGTGTGGGTAGCATCCCCCAAGCCAATCCCCTCCTCCATAAACTCTGTCCCCATATCAAGGGAGCCAAGTGAGGGGGAGCACAGATTGTCTGGCTCTCTTCTGCAGAGTCTATAAGGTTTCCTCCCCTCCCATCATGGAAAAGAGAAAAAAAAAAAAGGTAAAGAGAAGGTGGGGACATTTCTAAGACATGCCCTTCCTACATTCTAGAAACACTCCAACTCTTCCACACTAAGAAAAGGGTGTGTTATTTTACAGAGTAACCCCAGCTAACCTCACCTGAGTTTCCTCACTCACCATGGTCCTAGGAAATCTGTTCTTTATAATAGTTTCCTTTCTATCTTCTTTGTTAAAGTATGGGCTCCATGAAGCAGGATGTCTCTAGTGCTAAACTAAGTTTACCCATAACTTGAACTCCAGACATGGGTACGTGAAGTAAAAATGAATCCTCCTCCATTATTATTCATAACTGGCCTTTCCAGCACTGAGCAGGTGACCTCATCCTGGTTATATAGGTCTTGGGGATTCTGCCCCTTGGAGGCATCTCTACTTTAATCATTCCCTTCTTTTGGCTACCACTTCCGTCATGAGTACTGATCCCACTTCATAGCCCCTGCAGCAGCTCCCCATCCTACTTATCCTGGTTGGTACCATAAAGTCAACTAAATCCCCTGGATCTCTTCTATTTGTGCACAGGGGAAGAACAGAGAACCTGTTATCACCAATAATGATCATCTCAAAACTCTGCTTTTGTTATATATTTTCTCAAAAGTGTATATGAATTTTTCATATGCTTTTCTTTCAAGTGTAGGTGTCACACGGAGACTTGGGAAAGAAATGCTTAGGAAGTCATCCACTGGTTTGGAGGAAACAGAGATTCAAAAAGATCCAGAGAGATTCAAGAACTAAGTCCTCTTCTGTTTGATGTTACTGCTTATCATAGCTGAATAAAGGTTAGAACTCCATGGGGACAGCAGTGAGAGCCACAGTGATACCTGGCCATACCACTTCACCTCTTACAGTGCACAAAGTTCTTCTACTGTCTAACTAGTCTAGAGAGTCCCCTGTTCACAGCCCATCTCCTTCCCAAAGACTTCCCTAGACTCCACATAGAAGGCCATCTAAATTCTTTCTTTGAATTCTTACAGTATTTACCATCCTATGGATAGTGCCTGTTCTTGTCTAACTAAGTGTGAGACATAATTGTTAGATGGTTCTTGAGGGAACTGACTCATCTGATACTTCCTTTTTCTCCTCATATCACCAAGTAGAGCCTTTATCAAATAGGAGATGCTCAATGAAGCCCTGCTGCACTTCATTAACAGGAGCTCGTGGGATGCTTAAAGATGAGATAATTCTCCATTAGGTGAAACTTGTGGGCCTTTCCAGAGAGAGTATACAGTGCAACACCCCTTCAAAAGGACAGAGTCCCCCCACTCCCACTCTTAGAAGCACATGAGTGGGCAGTGCTGGAGGGAGAGATGCTGGTTACCTCTTACTATTGTTCCTCTGTTTGGCTGGTGTTTTGGGGAGCTGAATTGGCTCCTTTAAAGCTCCTTTCAGGTGAATGATCCTTTCTTGTATCACTTCTCGAATGTTCTTGATCCACTCCTGCTTGGTTTCAATGTTGGAAGCCTGGAGTGCCACAGTGAGAAAGATTGAGAACCCCAGCTCCTGTTGCCCTCTGAAAACCAATCTCAATCCCCTCCCATAGGCCTCAGCTGTTATTTTCAAGGATACCAAAAGTTCGGGAGTTTATTTCTCACTTTATACTGTGACTCTTTAATCCCAGGGATGCATTTCTCAAACTCCTAGAATAGAGCTATGACTTCAAGATGCAATGTAGACTCAGTCAAGGAGAATTTGCAAAATATCTCAAGACCCATAGGGCATTGACTAATCCTGATGTCTTTCCTGGGACTGGTACAGTATCTGGAGGCCTCTGCTGGGCAGGGGTTAACACTTGAGCTGCCAGATCCTAGAGAAGTCTGGGGGCCCTGGGAGGGATGGCATTTGAAGGCAGCGTTTGTCATCAGCCAGCATGGACATAGGCCAGGATGTTCAACACCTACCACAGCTACACAAGCTTACACTGGCTGGAAGACAGTCCTGGGTTTTTAGGCTGCTAAACTGTTCACTAGAGCAATTGCTATCATCCCTGAATGTCCCATTTGATGTCCTGGATTTTTTGTTGTTGTTATTGTTTTAGATAATTCTGCTTCATGACAAGTAGCAGCTATACTGGCAATTCAGAGTGAAAAAGTGTGAAGGTTTTGTTGGGGCTGGACCATCTGCTCCCTGGTACCTCCCTGACAACCGAGTGACCAATGGAAGCTCCATCTGCATGATCCCTGCTCAGTCAGGCTACTGTTTCCAGAAGCACCAGCTCAAGGCTCAGGCTATGCTCTGGAGACCTGAGACAACCGTGTTGAGAACCCACGTCAGAAGGGTTAACTACAGCTCCTAGAGCTCAAGTTCCTAGAGAACAAGGTCCGTATCTTTTACATCCTTGTTCCCTGTAGCAGTGGGCAGAATACCTTACACATGGAAGGTGCTTAGGGAAATACATTAGGTGATCATGGAGCAAATCATGGTGCCTTTTGTCAAAGGGCCAACTGTTGTTCTTGCCACCAGAAGGAGACATATGGTCAGAAAATAGCTGAGCAGGCCTTGTTGAGGAGTCAGCAGGCTACTCTTTCCCTTTTCCCTCTATGGATTTGAGGAGAACATTGTCTTTGATATTGACTCTGGGTCTACCTTCATGATGGAATTTGCTTCTTAATACCCATGTGATGCTGCCATTCTCAAGAGAGGCCCAGTGGCTCAGTGGTCTCCAGGTCCCAGCTTTTCAGGGTCATATGCCCACATCCCTCCCTTAACCCCTTTTCCAACCCCAATAGGTACTGTGCCCAGCAGAAAGCTGTACTTACTTTGAGCACTGTTTTATTGTCTGAGGATGGGGTGCGCCCAGACCACAAGGCGAATTTGCAGGGGTCGCCCTCTACGTGCTCGGTCACACCCAGCTCTGAGGTCTGTAGACAGGAAATGCCTGTGAGAGGCGGGGAAGGGGAGGGCAGTGGGGAAACTTAGGGCTGGGATGGGAAGGGAAAGGCAACAAAGAGGAGAGGACCGAGGGAGGGGCTTCTGTCAATCAAACTTCAACAGACTGGATATTTTGTTCATCTACCCAGGATGAAGAACCTACAGGCACGTGCCTGATTAGCAGGTACCAGGGAGGGATGTGAAGAGGGAGGTGCTAAAAGCAAACAGAAAGAAGAACTGTGAACTCTAAAATGCAGAGGTGGGAGGTGAGGGTGGGAGCTTTCCAAATAGGAACCATTTGCATTTGTCCAGGAGGGTTTGGTGTGGAGGCCGGGGAAGAGATGAGCTGAGTATGTCCAGATCCCTTCCTGCCCACGGGCTCTATGAAAGCAGGGGGTCTTGTCCTACCCGACCTGCCCCACCTACCAGTAGCTTGTTCTTGTAAACATATTTCGTGTGTCCTGAAGAGTCTTTGATCTCCTTGCTAAAAACCAAGGAGATCTCAAAGAGGAACAAGTGCCGCTCCCGCCCCTTCCGGATCAGAGACTTCGGGTCCCACACTTGAAAGGCATCCTGGAGAATCAACTCCCCCTGCACATCCAAGTTCTCGTCGAACCCTGAAAAAACACCCATGTCCACCCTGTGGAGTTTCTCTGCCACCATGTTGCAGGGTGAGTTCCACTCTCTCTTGGAGAAAGGCTTCTCTAATTGTTAGCCCTTGACTCCCACAGGCTTCTGCCTTTTGGACACCAACATAGACAAGTTTATAGAACTGTGATTAGATCTCCCCCACCCACCCATTCCCTGTGCCCAAGTATACTTAAGCTATGTTAGTGGAAACTCCTGCAAGGGTCCTGTGGGACCTTCCCTCCCAGAACCCTCATGTGAGAGGGATCTAAGACCTCCCTCAAAGGGCAAATCCCATAGCTCTTCCTTCCACATCTCCCAACTTTCCTAACTCACAGCTCTGAGTGGGGCTGAAGACACACATTGCCTGATGTAGTGTCTTGTCTCCGCTGCCTTGGCCACTGCCTTATTTCTTAAATTCCATTCCTAGGACTCTTCCCTTTGATTGTTCCTGCTCAGAGTGGTGCACAGCTTTAACCAGTTTATATTTATACCCCTGTAAGTCCTTATGAAGGTTCTCAAACTTTAGTGTGCATTAAGAATCACTTGCCCATCTCTCTCCTCCCAAGAGATTCTGATTCAGCAGCTACTGAGCAAGTCCATGAATTTGCACTTCTGACCACTTCCCAGCCACTGCTGGTGGTCTGCAGACCATACTTGGAGAGTAACTGGATCTAGACTACAGATCAGGGACAGGCTAGATGAGCAGGGTACTTATGGAAGAAGATACCCAGGATTGTGGGTTAGGTGCACATAGAAAAGAAAGGGTTGGAGAAATTGTGACAATAGCAATAAAGTCAGATGATCAGTGCTCAGTCTGGAGATGATAACCAAGATTCTTTCACTCTAAGAATTAGCGCTTCCTGTGCTACGGGTTGACCAGGAGACCACACCAAGACTCTTGGTGGTGGTGGGTGGGGGGTGGAATGGGATAGCATAAGGTGGAATGGAGGCCAGGTGAGAAAAACAGCCAATGTGCTTTACATACTTGCAACAGACTATACTTATTTCCTTTAGCACCTGTGTGCCAGCCCAGACTGGAATGTGAAGTCTTAACCCATCTATCAAATCCCACCTCCATGTAGCTGCTCTGCCCATCTGTTCACAATGTCAAGACCATGTGACTAGAGCCTTTCTCTGGAAGGATTCTGGATTCCAAGAACATAGCTACAGCTGACAAAAGTCCTATCTGGGCTATCTGACTAGTCTGTATTAACCTGCTAGGGAAGGACAAAAGGCTGGTTGCACAAGAATGTGAATGTACTGAATGCCACTGAACTGCACAATTAAAAATGGTTACAATGGTAAATCTATGTTTTATATATATATATATATATATATATTTAAAAAGATGAGCATAATGCTAAAGATAATGGTGTGTGTGTGTATAATTAGAATTTCTCCTTATTCTGATTAACAGGAGTGCTATGGGTCAGGGCTATAGCACATTTATAGCAAAAATGGTGGCCTGTCCTAGACTATCTCATGGGGAATAAGGTGTCCAAATACCTTAAGTGGCTTAGGCCTGGTCCAACTTGGAGGCAGGTGTTAACCAAACTGGTTTGTGGCACTTCTCTCCCGGTTCTACCAATGACCAACTAAGGTCTGGCTGTTTCTTCTTTCTCCCAGGCTTATCTGGCCTTGACTTTATGCCACTTCCCTCCCACAGTGCCAGCTCCCTGGTCTTAGGAATGGGGGAAGCATCCCCAGAAGGACTGGGAAGACAGCTACCTTCCAGCATGCTGACATGCATGGCATCATTAGCTTTCTTGGGGACACTGAGCATCACCTCCAGGCCATCCTTGAGCTCCCCTTTCCCTTCTTCACAGCAAGTTAAAAGTTCCTAAGGAAAAAAAAATCCAGACAAAATTAGGGTCATTTCCTCAGCTTCCCAGCCCTCCCACCATCCAACGCATCAAGGAAATTATACACCAGCCTCGCTCTCTTGCTATACCCGAGTTATAAGGCAAGTGGGGTGGGGAGGGGTGAGGTATTACTGCCAAAGAATTCAAACATTATTTTGTTTCCAGACTGAGCTTCCTCAGCCCTATTTAGTCTATATGAAGTCAACTCAACCCAATTTTCAAATGACTGGGGAAAAAAAATCAGCAACCAGGGCACTCTCTATCAATGAACTGCTTTCTGGAGAAGGAAGGGGGTAACAGCAAAGCCTACAAAGGAGGTATGGTATTGTGGGATCACAAGAATGAGAACTGAGAGAGGAAAGAGAAGAAAAAGGGAATGCTGCACACCAGGCGGCCCTCATCTATCTCTGTACCCCTATTTCTAACAACTTATTTATTTATTTTTAAATTTTGAGACAGGGTCTTGCAAGGTTGCTGAGGGTCACACAACACTGCTGAGATGGCCTCCAACTTGTGATCCTTCCGTGTCCCCTTCCCAAGTAGCTGGAATTACAGCTGTGTGCCACCACGCCCAATCCTATTCATAAACGCTACTGCACTGAGGCTGACTTCCATCCTACTAGGAGAACCTGAGGTCAGAGACATTATAGGCTGATAACATTTTCGGGGTTACAAAGTATTTTTAGAATATGTAAATCAGTAGCTCCCAATCTGGAGCCAGTGGGTGGGATTCTAGACTAGTCCTTTCATTGTTAGAATCGAAATGTGTGAAGAGGAATGGAGGATTTCCCCTAGGTTATGAAACTCAGAGGAGGCCATGCGGGGCTGGAACACAGGTCTCCTGAGACCAAGCCCAGCACTCCATCCACCACACCAGCCATCTTTCCCACGTCCTTTACTCACTGAGCCCTCCTAGAGCAGACCTTCTCTTACTTTCTGGGGGGAAGTGGGGACATACCCTCTCTTTTCACTGGAGTCTTAGTCATCTCCAACCCCAGAAAACACATACAGCATCTGGATGATGGACATAAGATCACCTCCAACTCTCTTAGAATCAGAAGATCATTTGCCCATCTAGAAGAATGGCTTTTCATTTTTACTATTCTTGCTCATTTTGATATTGGGAGAGAAAGATCTGCAATCCATAGTTCTCCTGGAGGGCCCAGGGGCTGGGTGGTTGGGTGGGGACATACTTGGAGCAAAAAAAGTTCATTTGATCAAATCCTGTAAGTATGTAAATGGCAGGCTGGCTGGCAAATATATTCATGACAGTTGCCAGCAGAAGAATGCTTATCTACGGAATGCTTTTAACAGGACACATCTTGGCCTGTCTAGGGCTTCCTATGCTAAACAAACCTGGAATCTGTGGCTTTATGGGCATACTTTCTGGAAAGTGTCACATAAACTATGGAACTATCTTAGTAAAATGTGAGTGCACTCACGACTCCAGGGCAAGGGAAATGATGCAGCAAACATCATTTGGACTCCCTGCCTGTGAATTGGGCTACAGAACATTCTGATGCTGCAAGAAAGGCCTTGGGGCCACAATGGCTCTCCTGAATTTTCCCAATTCATCTCTGCCTTGCCTTGAAATTATTAGTAAATCTTTATACTTGATAGAAATCTGATTAATGAGACTCTGACACAAAAAATCCAGTGCTTTGTGTTGTTCTGGATATATTCCTATATGAAAGGCGGGGGAGCTGTGAGCATCCAGGGAGAGGTGAACTGCCAGGCACACATATTTGGGAAGTACGAGTTCTCAGCCCCTTTCTTGGTTCATGAACAAGGTCACTGTTCAGAAAGTACTTACTTCCACCAACCTGAAGTTTTCCAATGTCTCCACCCCTTTCCTAATTTTAACCCTCCCAATCTTTTTCTCATACATTATCAAAAGAAAGCCCAAGGCAGAACATATGAGAGAAACAAGAAATACACTTCATGTACAACAGAAAATACCAATTAGTTTAATCCCCCAAAGCAATTTAGCAAGTCTAACAATCTGCCCAACAGAGCCAATAAATTCTCTTTGGATCCTTGCTATAGTTTATGGTAGAGAGAAACCTCCACATTTAATTTAGACTCCAAATGGACAGCTGTTGCAGATTTACAGGAAGAATATTGACCACCCCAACTGACATATAGTTTTTACTTTCATTCAACACCTAAACTGGTGATCCCCAGAAGATACTGATAGTTAAATATCAATTTATTTGCAATAAAACTGACTTAAAGGAGAAAATAAATCCCATATTATTTATTTCTAGTCAAAGTTTAGCACACTATTTTTCTTTGAATCAGCAGGCAAACGTGCCACCAGCACATTTTAAAGAGGCAAACCTTAACTTTCTTTTTCCCAATAATTTTATAATCTTCCTACAATAAAGTTCCTGCTACATATTTGTTCACTTCTCAGTTACCCGCACAGTACTTCTCCCCAAAACCCTCAGTTCCAGAATGAAGGCCTACAGCCCACTCTTCCAGATATCTAAAGCAATACACAGGGTGGCACATTCCATGTCCATGTCCCTCCCTTGTCCTTATTGCATGATTCAACCCAGGGAACTTCAGAAGCCTAGGGGATTAAAAGGAGAAGAGAAAGGCTATATTTTTCTTAGAACAGCACTTTTTGTTTGTTTTTTGAGATAGGAGCTTATTCAATTGCCCAGGGCAGGCCTTGAACTTTCAATCATCCTGCCTCAGGCTCCTGAGTTGCTGGGATTACAGGTGTGTACCACCATGCCCAGCTCCTAGAACTGTGTCTTAATTGATTTAAGAACAACCCTATCAATTCCTGCAAAGGATTTAAGATATATTAAAAACAAACAAACAAACAAAAATCAATTTTTAAGTGTCTATTAGACAAGAAAAACAATTTAGAAGGGCCATGCATTAAGCAGGGTAGGGAAGGAGAGGTTAATCATGCACAGAAATGCAGGCTGAGGGGAATTTACTGTAAGAAACCAGAGTCAAAGGTAAAGAGGAGCCTGAAGCACTAAAGCACTTGTGGGATAAAAGTCAAAAAAAGTAAAAAAGATACTTTTTTTTTTTTTGGTACTGGGGATTGAACATAGGGGTGCTCTACCACTGAGGCAGAGGCTTCTGCACATCCCCATTGTGACTAGAGGCCGGATTTGAAACCAGACTGTTTTTCAGGTTCAATGAAGCTAAAATGTGTGATATTCAACAGGCATTGAAATGAGCTTCATTTCATCAGATTTTCTCTGAAATTATATATCTTTGAACATGTCTCTTACTATCCCTTCATCCTTTGCAGTACAGGAAAAACCAACAAAATCTCAAAAGGAGAAAAACTCCATCCTTACATGTTAGGGATTACTATAGATTTATGATAATATCTAACTGCCTCTAAGATCAACTTCTGTTTTTGTGGAAATGCCACATTTTCAGAGCATCACTGTATACTTTATATGAGAAAGCTCAAGTCAAATTACTTAGTATTTTACATAATTTGTTTATTTGACTTTAAAATAAAAGATTCTTAAAGGAAATCCAATTCTCTGGGTTGGCTCTGGAGAAAACCCTAAGCTATGGGACCCTATCAGTACAAGATGCCATATGTTTTAATATGCGCCCTCTGACTACTTTCCCTCAATAACTTTATGATCTTGACAAACACAGATTAAAGCAATGGTAGGTGCCACCCTGGCCTCCACTACCCATATAAACTGTCCTTAATACTCATCAAAAGCAGAGGCCGCAGGAGGAAGCTGCTCCGAAAGGAGGGATAGAAGAGCTGCTCAGAGCCAGCCAGGGCCTGAGGTGACAACTTTTAAAGGTTGCACAAGGGTGGGTGAAAGTGAAAACCAGTCAGAACTTATTCCTGTTTCCATTTCTCCTCTTTCTCCCCTCAATCAAGAATCTGGAATTCCATGGGATAGGAACTGCAGTCAGGAGCTGGCAATGCCACAAGGCCTCCTCCTTGGAGCTCTGCTCTAGGTGGAAGAAGGCCTTCAGGTAGAAGTTTCCCAGCTCCAGGCGCAAAGCTGAGACTCCCTCACCCCAGTCAGAAGTGAGTGGAGGTGACAGAGGGGGAGGGAGGTACCTTCAGGAGCAGTTGGTACTTGGTGATCCTCTGGACTGGCTTAATTAGGTAGGAAGAGATGGAGTTGGCCAGACCGTGACGCTGCTGAATCTCCTACAGGGATGAGAAGAAGGTACAATGAGACGGAGGAGCAAGTGTACGCGTGTTCTAAGAGATAGGGTAAGAAGAGAGGAGGAAAGGGGAAAAGGTGGACAGTTATGAGAAAATATTCTTGGGTAGGAATGGAGGGAAGAAAGGGAAAAAAGAGAGATCAAGGTGCAGAGATAGAAAAGAGGAGAACTGCTGAAAAGAGAAAAGCGGGTTCATGAGACAGAAGTAAAAAGCAAGCAGAAATAGAGAAAGATAAAAAGTAGAAAAAAATGACGAGGTCAGTCAGGACAGAAAGAGAAAAGAGGGGAGAAGTTGTGGATGTAAGAGAACATATGGGGAGGGGCAATAATGGGATAAAGGACAATGAGAGTAACGGGAAGACAGAGAATGAGGTTCCGATTCCAGCTTTGTGACTCTCACTCTTTATCTGCCCTCAGAATCTTTTAAATTGGCATAAGGATGTATCTCTTTCATCATGCCTCCTCCTTATTTATCTATCTATTTTTTGAGACAGGGTCTTGCTAAGTTGCTGAGGCTGGCCTCGAACTTACAATCCTCTTGCCTTAGCCTCTGAGTTGCTAGGATGCCAGATGTGCACCACCGCACTAGGCCCACCCCTCCTCTTTAAATTTACCACATCCAACTTAGGATCATCACTTTATTTCTTAATACTTTTTGCACTGTGATCAATGGCACTTCCCTCTTTTCTCAGGTCTCCTAAGCTAGAAAGCACAGTCATTTTTAGTAATTTCTCCTCTGTTTTTTTGTAGGACAAGTCCTTCCTCTCCATTTCTATGGACACCAGCCTCAGCACTTATGCCAAGGCCATGGCTTCCAGCTGCTGTGGGTGCCTCTGGTTTCCCCTCTTATCTATTCTCTAACTTACCTCCAAATGATCTTATACTCCCCAAACTATCAGAGATATGGAGGTCAAAGAAGGGGCTATACTACCCCCTGTCCTCAGAAAGCTTACAGTCCAGCTGAGAATACTCCACACACATAAACTAGAGAATAACAAAGGACCACAGAGGATGTGTCAGAGCCAGAGAACTAAGAGAAATCACTGGCTCTGGAATCGTCAAATGGTCATAGAGGTTAGTAGTAGTAGAGACCAAGACTCACCTGGGGCTTAGACCATAGATAGAGGTTGTTTAAGAGGAAAGTTGAAAGAATGACACTTTCTAAAGGGAGAACATCAAACACAAAACATTCAGGCTGAAATGACCATTATGTGTTTAAATAATGCCTGAATGATACAGAGGATGCATAAACAAACAATAAAAACAGATAAGCAAGGCTAGGTCATTGGAGGACTTGAATTAGAAGAAAGAGGATTTGATGGTAAGTTTTTCAATGGCAAACAGTATAGATCTATTTCTTCTTCTGATGACAACAATATCTCAAAAAGGATAATATGCACCCAATAGCAACATAGGGGTGGAGATTGGGGAAATAGAGACACAGAGACAAACTAGAAGGTTATTGCAAATGCCCAGGTATATACATGAGAAGTTACCAGGTTATTCAGCAGTTCTGCTCTGAAGTGTATACCCAAGAGAAATGAAAATATATGTTTATGAATGGCCAACTCAAATGTCCATGAACTGATGAACCAAAAACCAAAATATCCACATACATACAATGGAATATTATTTTGGGCATAAAAAGGAAAGGGGTACTAAAGCATGCAATGACACAGATTAACCTTAGTGGAAGATGCGAGTGACAAAAGATCCCATGTACAAACTACCTGATTCCAATTACATGAACTGTCCAGACAAGAAAGAAAACAGATCAGTGATGGCTTAGGGCTAGGGGATCGGGTGAATGGTGGGGTGTTGGTAATAGCTGCAAGGTGTAGACTTACTTTATGAGGTGATTAAAATTCTCTAAAGTTTACTGCAGGGATGGCCACACATATCTATAAGCATAATAAAGCTTTTGAATTATATATTTTAAATGGGAGATTTGAATGGTATGTTAGTTATATGACAATAATGTTATTATTCTTCAAAAAGTCCAGAAGTGCAATGTGTGGACTTGCCCTAAGCTACATTTAGTTTAAAACAACAATAACAACAACAAACATTGGGAGAAATAAAAGAAATATTTTAAAGCTAGATTAGAAAGGATTTGCTATGGGGTTGTAGAGGAAGGGGAATGAGAAGGATTAAAAACTTAAGTTGTTCCATTTTCCACCAATGACCCAAGAAGGTAGTGATATTTTTACTCATTTGCCTCTTCCCTATAGGTGCTGGTGACAGAGGACTTGTTAAAGGATGTTGATCTCTTTGGGCAAATGAAGCTGTAGGCTTCTCTGGGGGCCCCAGTTCCCCTTGGGGAATACAATGATATTTAAATACATGGTTCCCACACAATATGCTCACAGTACTGCTGATGCCCTTCCCTCTCTGGGAAGACTGTATGTGGAGCAGAGAAAGAGGTGGCCCCCATCTGCAAGGTCAATTGAAGCAGGCTCAGGAAACACAGGGCACTAGACCCTGTGAGAACCCATGTTGTTCTCATGTTTAGGTTCAAAGTTCTGGATCAGGTGAATGTGCGGGTCTTTCTAGGACTTCAATTTTCTATGTTCTCTTTATAATAATAGATAAGAAATGGCCTTTTTAAGGGTTTGTCACTTTTATAGAATGAGAGCTAAAGCAAATGGTTTCTAGGTGTAGAATTTAGAGAAACCTTTCTAACGAAGTGGAAATAAACTACAAAACTATGCTTTCTGAACGAAAAGCTTTGGGAAAAATCAGAAAGACTTATTGCTGCTCTCCTCACGTCCAGGCCGAACTTGATGAACTGATGGTTTTCTGGCTTCCACTGGCCTTCCCAACTAATGGCATGGCTCCCATTGGTTGGAAATGAGGTGGGGTGGGGCAGTTTTGGAAGAGGAGCGGGATAGATATGACTTATCAGCCAAAGTCTAAAAATTGACCAGAGACTAGAGACTCAAGAAACACAGAACTAAGGTAAATGAAATATAGCATCAGGCATTCAGATGTGTACAGATACGACTGAAGCATACCATCAGGCCTCAGGAGGCTCAGATGGAGAGAAGGTATATAACAGAAAGGCACATTGTTGGCTTGTCAAAAGGCAAGTCAGTGAAAATGCTGTAACAGAGATAGAAAGTACAATACCTGCATAGAGAAGGAAGGATTTGTGCAGGTAATAGCTTTTGGCAGGATACAATTCTAGAGTAACTGTGTGTGTGTATGAGAGAGAGAATGCGTGAGCTGGAGCACATACATGCACGTGCATGTGAGCAGGAGGCTTGATGCTTCCTAGGCAGAGGAAAACAGTGTGAGCAAAGATAAGGACACAGAGTGTCGGAGGCATGATCAGAGCACAAGACTTTTCTTGGCTTTTTCTGTTTTACCTCAGGAATTCTAATTTTGGAGATCAATGGCCATTTCCATATTAGGTCTCCATTTAAAAAAAATCATGTCTGTTTCTCATCTAGCTTCTCCCATCAAGAGTCATTCCTTCACTGAACAACAGCATACTCTTGGAATCAATTCTGCTATAGCAGTGTCAGCCTAGAAAGATGCCCAGAGAAGGCTTATTTTGTAAAACTGAGTACAAAAACCATTTTTCAATGTCTTTGTACTCTTCCTGGGGCCTAGCACACTTCTTGCATATAATAGACATCCTAATATTTATGGGAAAAATGAGAGCAAGTAGGCAGAAATATAGACTAATGGCCTTTTAAAATTTCAGAATTTCAATTTTCTATAACTTCTGATATAACTATCAGAATGGCCATAGTCTGTCTCTCACTAAACTTCCCTTTTTCCCCTAATTTCATCTTTCCTTCTAATTCATCTCTTGAATCTTGTAGTCACCCTTTGATTCTGTTCACTGTGGAGTCAACAAGTCATTCTCTTTGGACACCAGCACTGAACAGATGTACTCCATCATCCACCAATAGGACTGTGTTCTTATTCAAAGCCAAAGACTCTGACAAGGAATATCAGCCTTCCTCTTATCTTGGCTTCCACCAGAAGGGCTCAACATTGGCTGCATATTTCTATCACCAGAGCCTTATAATCCCCATTGTAGCCTAGGCTACATTCAGGCCAACCATATCAGAATCTTAAGTGGGGGGCTCAGGAACCAATATTTTCCAAAGTTCCCCAGGCAATTCCAATGTGTATAACTAAAGTTGAAACAAGTGCATTAAGAAATGATTCTCAAATTTGATTGGGCATAAGGGACATAAAGACACAGGGACATGATGGATCCTTAAAATTCAGAATATTAGGCCCCACTCAAAGCTTCTGACTCAACAGATCTGGAGTGGGATTCAAGAATCTGCATTTCTAATAAGCACTTGGGTGATGCTGATGAGACTGTCCCAAGGACCACACTTTGAGAAGCACTGTATTTGAGAAAGGTGCATATGGAAATAGAAGTAAAACACTTTAACCAATAGCTGCATCATAGAAGCCTTCCTCTTTTGTCTAGCTAGTTATGGTGTTGAGGCAGAGAGCCAAATTTGCCTTGTCCAAAGTTACAGTAGTTGAGATGGAATGGGATAAAACAAAAGACAAACACTATTTTGTTTTTACTTTTCTCCATACTTTTCCATGAGATAAAGGTTTGGAGGTGTCAATTAGAACAGAAGATGGTTAACTAATGATATCCCAGATCAGAGAAATATTTCCACCTGCTTGTCAGTTGGTACAGAATGGGAAACCAGAGCTTACATCAAAGAAGGTGCCGGCATGCTCCAAGATAAGCTGGTTGGAATCAGGCTTGTTTTTACAGTAGGTAACATACATCTGAAATTTGTCTGCCTGAAAAGAACAAAGACAATGATAGATAAGCATTCATCAGTTTCTCCCTTCTGTCCCCTGTGGCTTAGGTCCCAGTGAGGGCTGTACAGTTAAACTCTCAGATACTGGTGCCTGGATTTTCTATGGCAAATGTTCTGCACCCATTCCAGCCCAGGCTCCCTAACAAACTTGGGAATGCCTTTCTCCTCCTGTTAGGGAGAAAAAGCTTGCTGAAAATAAGCTTAGTTTAATATTAGTGCTAGAAAGAAATAGAAAAACTGACTCATGTATCATAATGTATTCTGACACTGGACAGAAATTATTTAGAGATTATCATCATTCTTTTTTGAATTACCCACAATTGTGTTCCCCATCTTGAGAAAGGACAAATTCTGTCCCTTTTCAATAATGCAAATGAGGTGTGATCTCAGAGGTAGATCTGATTGTACCCCAAATATCTATACTGGGGGGGGGTAGTTTAAAAACAAAACCAAGCCATCACTCCCAACTTCTCAGAGGCAATAATGGTGACCATTTGGGGCAGGGTCTGAACAATGATTCCTAAACAGATTGTCACTTCATGGCTGGGTGAAAGTTCATTTCTTATTTCTCTCAGCACCTTCTGGGTTAATTATACACCCTTTCCACTGGAAAGGTATATGCATTTTGCCCACTAAGTACTTTCCCCAATGGTGAAACACCATGTACTTGGACATTTGAGGTATTCTCTCCGGAGAGAACAGGCTAAATATGTGCTCATTTCATCAGACTTCACTATTCTGTATGTTTTATGTATATTAACTCAGGCCACTCCTACGCAGTGAGTTCTATTATTTAATTCGATGAGAAAACTATACCACAGCTTGATAAAGTGACTTTAAATTCCCATAGTTAAAAAGTGGTAGAGCCCGAGCAATCTGACTCGAGGGTTGTGGGTCTGAACCATTGTCGTTCAGTACATTATAAAGCAACAGTACATTATAAGCAACTCTCTACTCTTCATTCTTGCACTGCACTCAGATACTAGGATTATGAGATTTAAGAAAAATCTCCTTGGAGTAATTCTTGGCAAAAACTGTATAATTTATCCAATCACAAAAGGTTTTCTGAAACCAATTTTAGGGGTTATATACTACCTAGGAGGTAAAGCAGCATCCCTGAGAGATAATGATAAATCATACTTATGGTTGATTGTAAAGATAATCCACAAATTGCATGAAACAAGATGCCCAAAATTTCCTCTACTTAATGGTCAATCTTGTTTTTCTCTATGTTGGCTGTGCAAGGGATCATAAATTATTTATCAGCATTAATATGAGCCAGGCATTGGCTCATATATTAGAACAAAATAAGATGGCAGTCTGAGACTTTCCAAAGGAATCAGAGTATGCTTGGAAGCAAACATTAAGATTTTATAAAAAGAAAGCTTGTCTGGAAGTCAGTCTTGAGCTGTGGCACTGCTGTAATACTTATTTCATGCCAGTGAGCTGGTCAACCTCCTATCTCACTTTAAAAATCTAAAATATAATCACAGGCCTGCCTACTCCATAGAAATTTTGAGAGCATGAACTCTCTGAATTGCAAAGACATTTTGAAAAGCAATTAGCTCATTTTGAATGCAAGTTATAAACAGGTAATTATCATGTAGTAGAACTCCTGACCCTAGGGAAGAAGTTTCATGTTAGTCATACCCACTGTCCTAAGTGAGCTTCCCTGGAGTTCTTTGCACTCATATCCATGAGCCTGAGCACAGAAAAATGTGCAGTGGGATGTTAATGAAGATTAATTTTTTTGGTTTATATATTTAGAACCTGGTACATTCAGGCCACAGACTTGGCCCATGATGATAGCACCAAAAAAGAAGATAATTAGATGTTTGTCATGTATGACAAAACTGGGAGGGACACCCCAGGAGCCTGTCCTCTATTAAGGAAGGAATTGTAACCAGTGGTTAAGGAGCTTCTGAAAGTTCTAGTTCCCCAATCCGCATCCTGAAAAAAATAACTAGTGGGCTGAGCTGCTGTGGGGTGGTGGTCTTGTTCCACCCTCCCGATCTCTCAATTTTAGAAAATTGTTAAAGAGAGCTTAAGATGGTGCTTGGACTTGCTGTCTAAGGACTTTCCCGAGGACAGTTCTGCTCCCCAGGGATGGAGTGCTTCTCACAGATGACCTGATGCTCTCTCTGCAGCCCCTGGTCCTGTGTGAGGCTGGCAGCGACACCATGCCTCTGGTCAGGCAGGGAGCAGTGGTACCATGTGCACTCCTGGAAATGTAGACAGTGGGAGAGGGAGTTTGGGTGGTTACCCAGGTGACAAAGCAGTGTCCCACGTCCTCAGGCAGCTGCTCATATTTCTCCAGCTCTTTGAGGAAGATGCTGCAAGGGGAGAGAAAGGCTGCATGAGATACTGGTACAGGGGACCCCGATAGAGGGTTACACCAAGGCCAACACAGCTATAACCTCTCAATTATTTACACATGGCTGTTTGACTCTCTAAGTGATAATGTAGTGAGATGCAGTTTTTATGTTGGAACTAATTTTATTAAAATATATGTTTAGAGCTACTAAGAATTAGTGCTACTTAACATAATATTATTTCCCTGAGGGGTTCATACTTCTTGGGGTAGAACATAAAAATGAAATATTGTACTTCTGTTGGATCTTTCATTTTGTCAGCAACTCTGCCTCCATTTTTTACTCAAGTAGTCTGAATATACTATAAATATTTTTTAAAATGTAAATGTAAAAAAATAACAAATGAAATATCATTCATAACTCCAGAGATGAAGTGAAAAAAAAAGTTCAATCCTTCAGGGGCCTTGTAATTCTTGGCTTGCTTCTTCTACTAACAACCAATTTGTGCTAAAAAAACATGAGTTCAACTTAATGTTTTTAATACAGACATCATTAGAAGGAAATTTAATGGGGAAAAAGTCACAATATATTCTAAAGCTCAACTGAATTACTGCAGAATCATCTGCCATGTGGATATCTACATCATGGCTCCTTTCAATGTTAAGAAACAATAAAGAACAAATTATACGAACTTCAAATTTATGTATTAAATAATTGGTTTAGCCTCTGAGAATTTAAGTTCTAACAAGTCAGCATTATTGAAATATAATTTCCATTAAAAAATCACACAAGGTAGCCAGGTACCATGGCTTCCAGAGTCACTGTAGTCCTAAAGACTCAGGAGGATGGAAAGTTTGAGGCCAGCCTTGGCAACTTGGCAGGATCCTGTTTCAAAGTAAAAAATAAAAATAAAAAGGACTGGGGATGTAGCTCAGTGGTAGAGATAGTAAGTTCAACACCTCATACCAAACACAAAACAACAAAACAAAAAACAAACGAAATACACACAAAGTTTTCAAATAAAAAGTAATTACAAGGCTTTGGGAAAGGTAACAACAGACACAGAAAATTCTGTAAACTTTATAAACAGCAATTTTACAGAATCTATCAAAATCACAAACATACTTATCTTTTGACTACAATCCCCCCCCCCCCTACTGGGGATCAAACCCAGGGCCTTGTGCATGTAAAGAAAGCACCCTACTGACTGAGCTATATCCCCAGTCCATAACTGTGTGATTTTAATTTTGGAAAATTTCCTGTAGTTATATCTCTACATGTGTGACATAGATACATTAATTGTAACACTGTTCACAATGGCAAATCTAGTGTATGAAAAACAAAATATTTAAACTATGGTATCTCCATAGAACCAAATACTATATAGCTGTACAAGAAATAACAAAGCTTTCTGTTTTCGTATGGGAGACCTTCAGGACAAGCTAAATGGAAAAAGCAAGGTGCAGAAGAATGTACATAATACTACATTACTTTTTATCTAAGAAGATTATATTCTATTTCCAATCCAAGAAACTAATAGAAGTCCTTGCCACAGGGAACCAGGTAAAATAACAGGGTGGAAGATAGTGTCTGTGAAACTTCTCAATATCTACTTTTCACTTTAATTTTGCTTTTGTAATCACATGAATGCACTACCTTCAAAAATAAAATTAAAAGATATGACATGGTTCCATATTATTCCACTACTTACCTCTATTATAGGAAAAATCAATTTTATTTTAACTCACTCTACCTGGATCCTACTGTCCACACATTTTGGTAGTTTCTTATAATTCATTATAAGTGGTTATGAATTATACATACATATATATACATAAAACTTGTGTTCTTCCTTTTGTGACACAAAACAATGCTTTTTTGGAGTTTAAAATATGTGCAATTAAAAAATATCTGGTAGGTCTATTTGAAAGCAAAATTGTTAATAATGGTTGGTGGGATCACAGATGACATTTTTATTTGTCCATCTGCAATTTATTTTTTTCTATGATTTTTATGATAGTGAAGTAATGAGCACTGCTTGACTAATAAGAAAAAATCATTAAGAAAATTTGGGGGACTTCCAGCAGTACCTATTTGGTGATAATCACCTTTTCCTGAGAAGTGTACATTTTAGAGTATTCTGAATTGACTCACCGAATAGAAGAAATTATAATGCAATATGGGTTTCAGAAATAAAAATACATAGTGCTTAAAATCAATAAAATGCTATACTTATTGCTACTTTTAAAAGGACTACAGGTGACGCATTTAATATCTATTTAATAAGAATTCTTAAAAAAATAGGAAAAAGTGCTATAGCATGTTATAACTGAGGATCAAACTTAATTCAAAGCCCAAAGGGAAACATTCATGCACATACACAAATATATATATATATATATATATATATATATATATATATATATATACATACATATACACACACACACACACACACAAAATTATATGTAGAATATATATATATTCTATGGAATATATAGAATGTATATATTCTAAAGATATTTGTGTATGGTCCCTTTCCACAAGAAACACTAAATAATATAATGCACAATTTCTTTACATGATATTCTTTACATGATCATTTTCCATTTTGGCTTTTAATATAAATCTCAGAGAATACATGAATAGAAATCCAGCCCTGAGCCATTATGGGCTGATTAGCACCTGGGGAGGGGGCTGGAATGACTGGGCAAGTGTGGGAGAAAATATGATGAGCTCTTCTAGGGCAAGAACTAGTGGAAGAAAATGTGTTTTAGAGAAAGGAGGACCTAGGAGAAAAAGAGCTTGGAATGAGAGGAAGAGGATAAGGGAAGACTCTGCAGGCCCCTGGCATGTTGCTCTCAGCTTGTAGCAAAACTCTACTTTTCCACTGTATTATTATTCTTGACCCAGTCCTCTGACTCCTATAAGGGTACTCCCAAAAGGGTATGCCCTTTTTCTTTAGGGGTGGACAAAGAAATAGTAAGCAACCTGCATCATGACATCCCATGCAGAATATAAAATGTTTTGTTCCTGAAGTTGCAGGGACACCCATGGTGACTTAGAATTTCATTCTTGACTCATGATCCAAGGTCAACTGACCCAGTCGTTTAAGTTAATTTAAATAAACAGTGGGAATTATACCTATGGATGTGATACTGATCCAGATGAAGAAAGTGCTAGCAATTTTATTATAAATCCGACTAATTTAATTATAACAGCACTATGACTTTTTGTGTAAGCAGCAAAAATCTATGGGAAGATGCTTTGAAAATTCTAAGGGGATGAAAATGCTATAAACTGAGTTAAATGCATGGTATATGATTTCTATGACTAATGCTTTTTGGGAAAATTAAGGCTTTTTTTTTTTTTGAAAACAAGAGATAAACTTAATGGTTTCATTAAATTTGGATCTTCACAGGATAGTGAAGTGCAAAAAATAATTACCAAAGCATGATGGTTTTCTACTTTATAAACAAAGAACAATAATTTTTTGAAAGAATAGCAGGAAGAATGCGTATCTGGCCTAGGGAGGTAAATTCTAGGAATGTTAAAGATGTGCAGTGGAGTGGGGGATGTAGAAGCTAGTGGAAGGTGAGGGTTACTTCAGAGTTTGTTCATTCAGGTTCAGTGCAGCCTCAATTACAAGTCTCTGGTGATCAAAGCTGTTTTCCAGAATTGGTTTGTGAGGGACATCACTCTCCAAAAGAATCTTTATGGCTTGCAGCATTAGGAAAAGGCAATGAGAGGCTTAGTGTAGTCACTGCCAAAGCACAAGTTAAAGAACTAGTGTTCACACCTGGTCACAGTTGGGAGGGAGTCTTCCAAAGTCTTGTTTTCTTCATCTTTAAATAACAATGCTGTGGGGTTGTGAGGATTTACTAAATCTACAGAAGGTAAGAAACCCAACCCAGTGCCTGGCACACAGTAGGCATGAAATAAACAGTTCTTCAAGATCAGTGCTTCTCAATCTTAACTCATATTTTTTTTTTGTAAACATACACATCTCACACTATACTCTTAAATACTTATACCTAGGGGGCTTTCACTATCAGGTCCCCCATTGAAACCTCTATAGCAGGTTAACCGCAGCGCTAATTACCTGTCTCTGATGATCAAGGCTATTTTCCATGTTGCTATGTGAAGGACATCACTCCGCCAAAGAATCTTTATACCTAAACCTATTCTAGGAAAGTCTTTTTTTTTGATTCTTTTTTTATTATTAGTTGTTCAAAATGTTACAAAGCTCTTGACATATATTTCATACATTTGATTCAAGCAGATTATGAACTCCCATTTTTACCCCGTATACATATTGCAGATCTTGATTGGATGCTGTGCAAAAGTTGGATTCCAAGGTCACCTATTATTTAAGTCTGGGAAATTCTGTGTTAAGCTGATTTCTTTAGGACTTCCAAATCTTATAACATAATGAGGTACAGTGTAGATCTTGAAAGGACACAGAGTATATAATGCTTCTTTGCATTATATACTTTTAAGACTTTGGCATGCCACCATGGGGTAGCACACTTTGGGGAGGAAAAGCAGATATGGTTTTCAAGGGACAAAAGGATAGAAAATCCTATTTAGTGGTCGGTGTATCTGGCTGTGCATTGTCCTATGGGGTTAGGATATGAGTATCTTCGTATCAACGTATCTCCATTGTTTAGAAAACCTTCCTGGACGATTCTACTGCATTCAGTCACAGATCATATATGGGGACAACTGCTCTAGATCCCAGAGTCCAGTCCAGTTGGCAAATCCTGCATCAATCCATATGATTGAGTGGGGGGATGGGGGTGGGGTGGGGGAACTAAGAATCAGAATAACTATTTGGCTTGTGCTGGGCATATGGGTTTAGAAATCTGGGTAAGACATTCACTATCATCTCAATGTAATAGTTGTAGGTAAGTGGAATATTAAACCCTCTGGCTTTTTAATTCCAAGCTTCTGAAGATAACAGATTATCATCTGATTAAAATCATTCCACTTCTTTCAACAGACGTAAGTTTCAGTTAAAG